GAGGGAGGGTGTCATAGGGGGCTTGGAAACGCCGGCACTCCGGGACATGGGCGCGTCCAAAAGGCACCCGTGTAACCTTGTAAGACGGGTAGTGCTTTTCCCATGTCAGTTGTCAGTTGTCAGTCAGCGACATCAGTGAAACCGTGTTGTGTGTTGTGTCCTAGCAGCCTGCTCTGTCGCAGCCTCTAGTAGCCCGCTGCAGCGCTTCCACTGCCCGACGGGTTCCCCGAGTGGTGCGGGAGGTGGCTATCATGCAGGTGCTGAGCTGATGCTGATGGGGGGGTGTATGATCTTGTCGTACACAGGTTGTGGAGGCTGCTTCGTCGCCCTGGCTAGTACCCCCCGCCCAGAAGCCGGGGTCTGCTGCATCACCGTCCGGGGGAGTGGCTGCAGCGGCAGCGGCAGCAGCACCAGCCTCCGGGTCGACACGCTCCCGCAGCGCACGTGGCACCGCTGGGGCTGCCGCCAAAAGCAGCACCACTCCCGCGGCCGCCGCCGCAGGCGGCAGTGGAGCAGCAGTAGCAGCAGAAGCAGTTGCAGTAGCAGCTCCTGCTGCTGCCGGCGGCACGAGCTGCCGTGGCTCCTCCTCTTCCTCCGCTGCCTCCGCCTTTGCTTCAGTTGCCGCCACTAGCCCCTCCTTGCACCCCGTGCTGCCGGCGGGGCGGAGCAAGACGACTCCCCGGGAGAGGGAGGACGCCCGGCTGCTGGCGAACAGCTCCGATGGGGCGCAGGAACAATAGAACTAGCTCGGAATGGAGGGCGTGACCGGAGGGGGGGGGGCCTCCTTGGGCTTGGGCTTGGGCTCCGGCGAAATGCTACTGCTACTGCTGCTGCGACTGCAACTTCTACTATTGCTACTGCTGCAGCCTGCGGGGTTTGGGTCCTTGAGTGGGAGAGCTGAGACGGGGGGGGAGGGGGAGGGGGAGGGGGGTGAGCAATTGCTGCTGGTTGCGGTGATAATGAGTGTTAGGGCGGCATCTGATGATGATTCTGTCAAGTAAACAGTTTTTTCACTTGTCACAGTGAACTATTGCATGTATTACTAAATAATTTTCTCTGCGGTTGTCGTCACGGCGGCATCCAGAAGCAACAACCTGTGGTGTATATATACATATATACATATTAAGTGCATAACGTTGTATGGCCAGACGTGGCTAGAGACGTGGTGAGAAATGGCCACACACAGCCGGGGTCCACAGCAGCCGACCAGGAAACAGGTGCACCCGGCCTAGGTGCACTAACACGCGCCTGTTCCACCACCACCACCACCACCACGCACCTATTCATCCATCTATCATCTATTTTTGGACGCGATCGCTGTGTACGACAACAGCTATGTAAACATGGAACCCAAAAACGGCCTGGAACAACGTTTCTGCGGTGCTTGGAGCGGCTAGAGGGGCCACGAAGGGTGTCTGTAAGTACGTACATATGTATATATGTACGCACGTATGTATGTATATATGTGCGTGTGTGTGTGTGTGAAAATGGACTCGGCAGGGAGGTGCAGCGGCTGTGGCGGCTTACATTTGTATTGTAGGGGGGGGGGAAGTGGAAGAGGAAGGGGAAGAGGGAGGGAGGGGGCGTGGGCGGGTCGTGGCGCCGCATGTCAGAGCGGCGGTGAGGCCTCTCTCCGCTTTCCCTCCTGTGTGCTGCGTTGCTGGTCCGTTGGTTGACGGATTCCGCAATGTACCGAAATGTACTTTTTGGAGTTGGGGGAAACTTCCCGGGTTGCTGTCGTTGCTGTTGCTGTTGCTGTTGTTGTTGTTGTTGTCTGTGTTGTCTGTTCGGGCGCTTACGAAGACTGTCGGAGAGGGTAGGGGTTGCAGCGCGATGTGTGCGTGTGCGTTTTTCTGCGTGCGTGTGTGTGTGTGTGTGTGTGTGTATGATTGGTGTGGAGAGCGGGAGAGAGAATGGGGAGATTGAGAAGGGAGCGAGAGCGCGACACCTCGCGGGGGAAGAGCTGTGAGAACTGTTGGGGACGGCGGTGGCCATCGTCAGCAGCGGCTTGTTGGCGGTTGCTTTGATCGCTGGTTGGAGTCGTACACTTACACCGCACGCACTCTCACACACACACACACACACACGCATGCATGCATGCACACATACATACATGGACTGGATTGGGGTTGTTTCTGGACATCGCGGGGATCGCTGGGCAGCCCCGTCGCGTGTGTGCGTATGCGTGTGTGTATGTGTGTGTATGTGTGTGTGGGGGGGGGCGGTTACGGCCAACTGCCGCTCCGCCGTGCTCTGTGATAAGGGAGTTATTGCCCGGGGTGCTACCGGTTTTACAGACGAAAGAAGTGACTTTCAGAATTGACCGAGAGGGCGGTGAAAGGCGACGGAAAATACCCAAAAGGGGAATATTGGGAAATGTGATTAGGCTGTCCGTGCGCTTCTGAGGTGCTCGTCGTTCATGAGATAGCGTTGCGTGTGTAACACCTCAACACCTGAGTCATACTAGCGCAGTGCGCGCAGACCCCCCGTCGCGCCCTTACAGAGCAGCTCATCAGCTGGGTGCTTGACATGGCTGGTGGGTGCGCGGCATGTGTGTATAACTGTTGTATGTGTGTGTGTATGTGTGTTAACGTGATAATGATTTACTGAGCTGCGGAGGTGAGAAGGCAGGAGGGAATATGTATTGAGCTGCACGCCATGCGTCGTGTGCGTGGGTGCGAGGTTTTAGCGAGCGAGCGAGCGAGCGAGTATGGGCCGTATGGGCCGTATGGGCCCAGACGGCTAGCGGTTGCACCCAACGGCGCAGTAGTTGTTCCGAAGCGACGAGGGTCCTGGGTGTTGTACTACAGCTCTCATGCCCAGGGAGGCACGGACGGTTGTACGATGTGTATCTGACGTGGACAGACGGATTGTCGGTCACGTGGCACATGTCTCGAGATGTGCGTGTGTGTATGTTTGTGTGTTTGTGTCTTGTAAGGGTAAAGGGCGCTTAGAGTGGCGCTCTTGCAGCGCCAGTCAGGGGTAGCGGAGAGGTGCCGGTGGGTTTTACTGTTGTGTTGTACGGCACTTCATCACCACACACGTACTGAACAACAAGAAGATCCACCGCATGTTGCTCATCCCCCGTTACGCATTCCGGCCAACGCGGTGTATTAGGCCTTTGGAGTATATGCACCGATTACGATTCCCCGTCACCCTTTTGAGGAATCCGCAGAAATCGGCATAAAATGTGTTCACTCGCAAGACAACCAACAGCCGCTGAAGAGTTCCAGTCCAACCCGCGAACCTCTCCCAGACACTAAATCTGTAATCCAGACCAGCGTGCTCTGTCGTATATACGTAGTTCATCCATTCCGCGACATCTAGTACCGCACGTAGTGCCGTACAGCCCCTCTCCGTAACTTCTGCCCGTCTGCTGCAGCACCGTGCCCCACGCCACCGAGTGAGTCGCCGTCCGCCTCCCCCCCCCGCCAGCCAGCACCTGCAGCCCCTTGCACCGCTTGATCAGGCGCTGTACGGCGTCATAACCCAGACCCTGATCCGTCATGAACAGCCGCCGCAACCCGGGCAGCGCACCCCCACGCGAGATTGCGCCCATCTGTTACAGCCGCGGCCTCCCACTTGGGAAAGCCCTCTGAACGTCTGACGCCTCCTCCTCCTCCTCCCCCTCCTCCTCCTTCTCCTCCTCCTCCTCAGAACCCCAGGTGGACTAGCCGAGGGGTGTGTGACAGCACACTGGCCCCGTCTGCGTCCACTCCTCGAGACCACCCTTCTTTACATCTTCTTTACATGTAGTATGTAACATGACCTGAATGCCTAAATAAGACACGCACGCGCGGGTGTGGCCCCACTCGTCAGCACAGTCCGTTACAGAGACACCGACACGCAGGGATCCCCCCCTGCACCCGCACGAACCACATCATCAGCTTTCCCCCGGAGACTAGCGACCCGCTCCACTACACCCCACTCCGCAGCCAGACTGTCCCCAGAATACCCCCGCCGCCGCCCCCGCCGCTCCGCGCCACTCCGCTGCTATACGTGCCGGCGCCGGAGGTGATGGTGGCGGCCGCCAATCTTCCTCCGCAACCCCGGGGGGCAGCAGCATCAGCGGTAGCTTGGTATGAAGACCACGGACAGCCCTGTGTGTGTGTGTGTGTGTGTGTGTTCGGCAGGACGGGTGCTGGGTTATTGCGCCTGTGGGAGAAGATGACACTCGCATAGCATAGCATCACCGAACGGAGCTGCTTCACCACATGTCCGCCACCCCGCCCCACTCCACTCCACTCCACTCCACTCCACCCCACCCCGCCCCGCCCCTACCCCACATAAAGGGTCCGCAGAGCAATCAGGTTCGTGAACCAGATGATGGGTCGCCGTCCACCTGGGGGGCTACTTCGCACGGGGACAGAGATGCCGTGGGTTCAGCCCTCCTCAGCCAACCCTTCCGAGCGTTAGCTCGCCCCCTCCTCAGTCGAGCACTCCACGCCACTCCACTCCACTCCACGCCAGCAAAGCAAGAGGGCTCTCCTTAGGGCCCTCGTCACGGCCCCCCACGGCGACTCCTCGGCCGCTCAACGCCGCCGCCTCCAGCACCCGCCGTGATGACGTGTCCACACACATGTCCACTTCACCCATAACCCAGGACGCGGCACGCGCACCGTAACTATCTACATTGTGAAGTGGGGCCACTTCCTCCCAGTGTGGCTGAGGTCAGGGTGAGGGCCCCATGGTGCGGTTCGATCTGGCTGGGATGGGGTGGGGTGGGGTGGGATGAGACTCCCCCCGAGTGCCCTTCTTCGCTTTGAGAGCGACCTCGGGTTCGGGTTCAGTTTGTGGTCGGTGTGTGTGCTGTGTGTGGGGGGCAGGGGGTGACCTCCAGGCGCCTACCCCCCCTCCTCCCCCTCCTCCTCCTTTTAAGGGGAAAGGGGGCCCCCACGTTCAACGTCGCAGGATGGGGGGCAACACTCGCGCCACACGGCGTATCGTGAGGGAGGTGCGCTCACCACCGCGGGCCAGCCTCGTACCCGGGGACAAGCCGTGCATGTCCAAGTTGGCTACGGACTCATCCAGAAGTTCCTCAGAAACCTGCAACAGCAGCATACGTTGGCTTGCACATACATACGTACAACGCAGGGACAGGAGACGAGAAGTTTCATGGACGTGAAGGACGGGTGAGCACTCAGCAGGAGATCACGGCTGCTGGTATGTGGTGGAACACGCGGTGGATGACCCCTCCACCGACTGCTGCTGCAACGAGAACATTCTAAATATACTAATATCACTATTTGCTGTGGTTCTTGGGGGGGTGTCGGCAATCTTCCCACATCCTCAACAAGGAAGGGGGGGGGGAGACGAGCCACGAACAAGTGAAGCTGGCGGTACAAAAGCCCTCAGCCTTTAGGGTTGGGTCCGTGCTGGGTAAGGTAGGGTGGGGTCCGGGGTCCCTCGTCCTCACACCCGACCTCCACCACCACCGTCACCACCACCACCGTCACCGCCATAACCACCGTTTCAAAGCTATTATCAGTCCGCACCACCCGCAGCTCCCCCAGGCAGCACCTCGTCAATGCTGTGCAGGCAATCCGTGAAGGCCTCATCCCTGAACACCACCAGACTGCGAGGCTGCAGCAGCAAGGAGACGTTGTAGCTGGAGCGGCGGGAGCAGTCGCCACCAGGGGGGCAGTCCCCGTCGCCGTAGGGCCCCTCATGGGGGTGCAGGACTATGGCAGGTGCTGGTGTTGGTGTGTTTGCAGGTGCAGCTGATGCATCTTCGGGCCTGGCCGCAGCAGCGTCTGAAGTGTGCCCCCCGTCTGCGTCTTGATCCTCTTGATCCTCTTGATCCTGTAGCGGCTGTGGCTGCTGCAGTCGCAGATGCAGCTCCCCCTGGTGCTCCGATTGGCCCGGAGACTGGCAGCAGCGGGTGTGGGCTGCTACCGGTGGGAGGCCACCGCAGCCACCGCAGCCACCTTCCGTCGCCGCCGCCGCGCCCCCCGCCGCCGCCGCGGCGAGGTCACCTGCGGGATTGTGAGGACGAGTGTGCAGAAAATGTTGGAATACAGTATTCAAGATTGCTCCCGTGCGGGTCGCAACAGTTGGGCCGTATCGACACGTATCAGATGTATTTGCAAATGAAGCAATCGAGAGCGAAAGGGGAAGCAATTGCAAGGTGTCGTAAATGACACGGAGCAGCACGACTGAGCACTGGTCACCTGAGTGCAGGTCAGTCGGTCCATAGCGGGGGCAGGTCATCGCATGGCACGAAAGCAGCAGTAGTGATAGGGACCACATGAACCCAATGAAGGTCCGAAACCCGAAGTGCGCCTAGTTCCCTTCCGTGTCCCCCGGCTGCCGCCGGCCCCCTACCTTCAGGCCGGGGCTTTCTCCGAAACCGCAGTACGGCAGGTGCTCCGAGGGAGAGGATGGCCACCACTGGATGATATGCCGGGCCATCCTCGTGGGGCTGCAGATACATACATACATACATACATACATACATACATACATACATACATACATACATACATACATACATACATACATACAGGCATACACGTACATACAGGCATACACGTACATACGGGCGTTTTTCAAAGTGCACCCAAAAGCACACGAGGCATATCGAGAGCAACGCAAGCAATGCACGGAGGGCTTGTATCATGTCGCGAAAGGAATGTGGTTGTAGGCTCTTAGGAGATGATGTGCGTCGCTGCCATTCCGATGACTTCCACACCAAACGACCCCGCCGTAGAAACCCAAACGTAACGTAACGAACCCCCAGCACCTGTTCCAGGCGCTAGTCGCCCCACCCACATGCTGCTCAGCCCCTCCCCCTCCCCCCCACCCCCCGATGTTGCTGCCCCTCCCCACGCACCGCACATACATACATACATCCGCCCACAGACCTCACAACCCCACAAGACCCCCTCAACACCCGCCCACCATGATGCCCTCCCCCGGCATGTACGAATTGATGAGCACGTGGTTGGGAGGTTTGCCGCCGTACATCCCTCCATCGCCGCCATCTGCTGCAAGCCTGGTCAGCAGCGGCTGCAGCCAGCTGGGCAGTGGCGAGGGAATAAGGCCCTTGGCGTGCACCACTCCACCGAGGTTCTGGAGCCGCCGGCCCGACAGCTGTCCCCGCCGTGAAGAGCGGCATCCAAACCCCCACCCCCCGGGGAGAACACGTGGGAATGGATTCGGGGAAATAGTCGGAAGCCCCAGGAAATGTGGACGGGTGGTTGGGCGGTCGGGAGGGTCCTTATCTTCTCAAAAATCCTTATCTCGGAATTTTTATCTTCTCAGAAATGTGTCCTCCACGGCAACAATGGCCGTGCCGCAGTGCAGGAGTGAAGGGAGGAGGGGAGCTGGCCTGTGGTCCGAGGTTGGCTTAGTGGCAGCAGGTGTGCTTCCCGCACCTTTCAGGCGTGCGCACCTGAACCCACTTGGCCTTGGAAGCCCGGACTTCCCGCAGCAGCGCGGACTCCTGCTCCGGAGTCACGTACTCTGGCAGCTGAGGCGGAGAGGGTGTCATGCAAAGAGGGAAACGGACGACGGACGGTTTCATGTTATGTTGTGTTACAAGCTCACGAGAGCTAATTCTAATTCTCAGACGAGCAGGAGGCTCATGGACCGCAAGTTCTAGCGTACTTAAAAATAAGGAAGAAACAAAAAAGGAAAAAAGAAGAAAAAGGGTTTATGAACCCAATCTGCGAGAGAAAACAGTAACTAGAGTAAGCGCTTACTACTCGGCTATCAGCGTGCGTCGCCTCATCCAAAAAATGTTCTGTACAATCTGCGCGAGTCCGCGCTGATCATCTATCTCCGCGGCAGATCTCATGTTAGGCACGGAGGCTTGATGTCATCCTGGCATACATCTAGGGGTTGAGGAGCCGTTCCCGTAGGTCGTTGTAGGCGGGACACTCGACAGCAACATGTGAAACTCATCTTTTACTGCATTATTGTTGCCACAAACCCTACACCAGCGCTCTTGGCGCTACTGACCGCCGGGTCGGCTAACCTCCAAAGGCCACGCTCTTAAGCGAAACCGCGCCAGTGACTTCGCAGGGACGTAGCACGTCGTGTGTTTAGGGGTTCCTATCCAATGGGCATGCCGGCACATCTTAACCCCTGGTTTACCATTGTCCGACACAAATTCCCGGGGTGTAGTGATAAGACCTTTTACCAGGTCCAGATGCAGTTCCGGGAAGAGTGCCCAGAGCACCTGAGACCCCTTAGGATCATGGCGCCCCAGTTGATGGCCTGATAATCAGAACGCACTGCAAGACGTATCTCCTCACGCAAAACATTGTGAACACAGTCCCCTGCAAGGATAACCCTGTTCCAAAAACGTTAAACAAGTGAGGCCCAGTGAAGGTGGAGGGGCCAATAACCAAGCTCCCTAAACAACACACGATTAGCCGGTATATCCCCTAACCCAGAAAGATGCTTCAGGAACGTGCAATGCAGCTCGACCGTGCGATTTCCGAGAGATCTTTCGAAGTGGCAGGACCGCCCACGCGCTGTCGGGTGGTCGTTTAACGACCTGGAGAATAAATTGCGGTCCCCACACCTGGACACCATATAATAGAATGGATCTAATTCGCACTTCAAAACACTTGAGCGCCATCTTAGGTAGAAACAGTTCCGCAGCTTGGCTATCAGGGCATGTGTGGCTCGCTGCCCCGCACTAAATAGCTCGTCAGTGCAGGATTCGAAAGAGGCATCCGGCCCGTTATGAAGCCGTAAATACGTAGCCCTGCCATGACGGACGGAAAAGGTCAGCGGGCACGGCACCGCCGTGACCGCTGTCTGCTGGACGCGAGCACGAACATTTCCAAAACTGTAATCCATAAACTACAAATGTATTTTCTTGGTGTGTAAGGACTCACGTAGAAAAGGCTGGGCAGGTGGGGCGCGACCTGATGCTGCCGGTACCATTCCGAGGCCGATTCAACGCTCCAATCAACGCCCTCCATTGCAATGTATTCATTAAAGTCCCAGGAAGATGGTGAAGGGCTTACCCGACCGGGTGAGTCACGAAGGAGTTTAACTTAAACTAGTAATAATCGACCATTTGGCGCAATCGAGAATTTACCGTCAAGGAGTATTGGTTCTTTCTTGCCCTCTCCGCAAATAAAATTGAGGTCATGAATTCGCGTATAATCTGGGCTGCTTGGGCAAGGTGCTATCAAGGGTTTCAACAGACTAACAGACTAACGGCAACAGAATGCATTACGATAATGAAACGCGGCCAGAGCCCATGTGGATACACGACAACTCACTGGCACCCGATAAACAGAGGCAAAAGTGCAGAAATCAACGGATTCGCTGAAAAAGCAAGGCCATGTCCCTGTTGCTGCAAATGGATCTTGCTGACTGTGCTCGTGCTTCAGCTGCTGTGCGGCCTCCAGCCCCCTCCCTCCAACACCCATGCCTCAATGGGGGTCCAAGGGCCAAGGCCCTTGGCTTCAGGCAGGTAAAGGCAGGCCCGCCGTGGCCGATTCGGCCTTGCAACCGGTCATAAAAACAAGATGTGCATCTCAACCAGCAGGCGCCGCTCCAAACATCATATACAGTTCGCACCATCTTCGGCACCTATGTGCTTAACTAGACGGCCTCCGAATGCCATGCGTGGCTTGCTAAGGTCCTCCTCCCCCCCCCTCCAAAACTCCCCAAACGAATATCGTGAAAACTTAGCTGGTTTGAAATGCGCTTCGTCTCAAATGGTGAATGGTGTGAGCCATGTCGTGCGCGCAAGCATGGAGGGTTTGGCCCTTCGCAAGTTTGAAGTCATCTCAGTCGTTGATGGTGGACGAGCGTTCAACGCACAGCGATACCTAAGACGGCAGTCGTAGTCTTTATGGGAGATATGCCCGCTCGGCACCCAGTATGACACTGGTCGACCATGGCGTTTGCCGGCGCGTCGGCTGGCGGAGATTGCCGGACGCTCGCATCTTGAACCGTAAACCAGACTGATGCATGCGCCTGTTGCTAGATGGTTTTCGGTGTGCTATCCTCTGACGTTTGAGGAAACCGCGCCAGCGCAAACAATGGGGCTTAATCTGAAACTGTCGTGCAGCTTTCCTTCGCGAGACTGATAAACGTCTGAGATTCCAGTAACGGAGGTCGCAAGAGCCAGAACTCTGCGTTTAACAGAACGCTTAGAATGCGCGTATGAATCCAGGCCAAAAGCTATGGGTTTCCGGTAGGCATGGAGGGCCGGCTAGCGCCGGCGTAACATATTGTTGGCAACGTTGGGAAAATTTCTATCGCAGTCTTATAATACAACAGGTGGAGTATTTTATGCAGAATTTTTTGCTATGGTTGGTTCGTCAACGATGATGCATAACACGGTCTGATTGTATTCGCCACCGGCGAGGGGTAACGAATGTTCCTGCACGAAGGTGGGCACTTGGTAGGAGCAGGATAGAAGCATAAGTGATCATTCCATCCTTAGACATGCACCAATAGATTTTTACAGCACACAAGTCTACTGGAACGGGGAAGTTAGGACAGAGAGCTGGGATGTTAAGCCGGGAAACCACCTAAATGGCGTTGCAGACTCGTTTATTTGTGAACATGGCTTATTCCCCAATCAGATGTCCGATACTATCAGTTCATACGGGTTACCGCGGATAGAACCTTTTGGAATGGCGCAACACAGAGCCGTAACGAGTACGGCAATTCACAAAGCGCATGTTTTCATTCAAACACCGTGAGGTACATGCCACAAATACGCTGTTTGCTATCCTTGTGTTTAGCTATCCTGCCATCTTTAATAACCAATCATGTGGTGCGCGGTTACAAAACAGCTTTCACGGACACGTCTTACAAACTTTGCCAAGGCCCTGACTGTATTCATCCTTGGACTGCTTTTAACATGGGCAGCCTTTTCTTATCAACGTAAGGCATTGCTGTAAAGCAGGATACGATGGTGATGAGTTTTTCCAAGGAGGTGGCTCCTTCCTGTTTTTCATTCTCTCTAGTATGCGGAGATGTGTCCTTAATTTATTTTATCTCCCTGCCGTAAAAAGCTGAGGCAGGCGTGTAGCACAAAAATGTACTTCCCCTGGGATTTGAGTCCAGACGGATTCCCCCTACCCTTCCGACATACAGAGCGGAATTCGGATGGCCATCAACGTCATGCTATGCCGATTTTGCTTATGACTTCGTCTGTGGACTCATCATCGGCGTCAAAGCCCGTCAAGGGCGATGCAACAAGCTGGCTGGCCATGGGAGGGTTATCAAAAGGAGCACAAAGGACGACGCTTTCAAGCGAAAAGGAGCTAAGCCCAAATGAAGTAGGTATTGTAAGTCAAGTAGGAGCAATAAGCAGTAGCCGTGCGAGACGTGCTGTAAAGTTAGCATCACCTGAATTGCATTAATCTTCATTCTGTTGCACTGTCTCATAACATGCTGGACAGTTCAAGAAGAATGGCGTTGGTGCATGGTTGCGAGATGCTGAAAACTTACAACGGGAACATTTTGCAGGTGGCCTCAAAACTTGGCCCACTGGGAACCACGGAAGCATAGGATGGGCAGTTTCCGAGAGGGATTGCCTTGGTATGCAATTATTGCAAATGGGATGATTTTGCAGCTTCACGTAAACCTGTCCCATCCGCGGCCTCTTATGTGTAGAGCTCAGCGGATGAGGAAGCCGACCTCCAGCTGGCGCTCCGGGTCATCAACAGCTACGACCCCGACAAGACCAAGCCGAAACCTGTCACCTGGGTTGCGTAGTGCTGATGCCTATGAACCCCAGCGCTTATGCGTGCGTTCTTTCCTGCGTGCGGGAAAGATGAAACCAGCGGGCCTGATCGGGCTGGCTTAGGGCTTAGGCAGAACAAACACGAGCGATTAAAAAAACGGTGCCAATTTACATGCACCCGTTATTAGTACATACGTGGGCATATGCATTGGACATTGACCTTCACGCAGCAGGTGACCATTTCATGTGCGCATCCCGGCGCGTGTGTCCCGTCCCTGAAGCCATTCTGACTCAGGTTTGGTGGGACCTGTCGTCTTTTCCAATGCGCAGCGAGACCAGGAGCGAAGCTGTAATGCTTCGCCCTTAAGTAACACGATAGGTTGTAGAGCGTTGTGGATGCCCGCCCTGAGGGGGTCTGAAGCTGTATCTGTGCTGCCCGCTTGCTGCAATGGCAGGGATGTCCCTGCCGTTCTTCGAAATTGGTGTAAGACCGCAGCAGGAGGCTTCTCTCTAGGATAGTTAGATGGGGACAGGGACGGCCACACAGCGTTGGAGGCAGGTCGATAGGTGGACGTTACGTCACAGGGAAGGGTGCCAAGTACAAAATGCATTTTCGTAGCATGCAGCAGGTAGCTCGTGCATTTTTATGAAACGTAATTGCGTGAGAGGATTTGTAATTTAGTTTCATTTGGCTGTGATGGATGTGTTAGTGGCATAGAGAGGGAGACGCATGAACAACACTTCAGCCCCTCCTTTCTTGGGCACTTAACCTTGGTGGTAGGTCGACTAGTGCGGGAGGTTGTAGTGGTAACGAACATAGGCTAGATATGCTGTATAGATTTTTTGCCGCTATGTCGCGAAGTGGTGTTTGATTTTCTGGGAGGTCCGCGTGATGTCCAACTGTCTCTTAATTACTGGAGGAAGAAGAGGATGCCGTGGCGCTTGTGAGGCTGAGGTTGCGTAGTGGTGGGGACGCGCCCAGTGCGCTGGTAAGCAGTGGTAATTTCGCTTTTGGCAGATGAGTGCGATCATCCTGTGCGGCCATTCCGCATAGTCAGGCAAGGCTGCTCAGGCTCGTTTCCGTTTTGCGCGCACCTGTGCGCCGGCATGTAGATATGGCGTGAACAGGCTACCTTAAGCCGTCACCATAATCCCATATAACGAGTTCAGTGCTTAAATGCACAAATGGCGGGACGACACATTCATGGACGGTGTTTAGTTTATGATTTATGCACCGACATATCGTTTTGAAATTAGTTCTATCGAACGCGATCACTAGATATTGCACATACATATTGGCAGGCGGCTGGCAGATGTTAAGGTCTTACTTCTGCTCCCGGAGTGTCCGGGGGTTCAAATCCGCCTGCCGACCCCTCGGGTGTTTTGAGGAGTGTTGATTTGGGAGGTGGTCCCCCATCTTGTGGACGGTGTAGGACGTGATAATATCAACTTGCGAGCTGACCAGGAACTAAGTTGAGGCGCCGTTGATCCGCTAGATTTGGTTGGATGCTGGTGGTGAGTTGCTGAACCCAACGAATACACTCTGAAGTCGGATGGGGTGAATGGATTAGGGTGCCCCTCTCGCAGGGGAGAGCAGGGAACTGCCTCGGGAAAGGGGGCCGCTGGTGAAGCTATACCACCCTGTAACAAGATACATATTCTATTATAGTTTACCTTTTTTCTGCTAGAGCTTACGTAGCAAACGGAGGTGCGCGCCCTTGCTTTGCCCAGCTTTGTCCCCACGCTCGTTGCATCGAAGACCAGCTGCTGGTATGTGCCCTACATGCCCTACATTGCACCATTCCGCCACTAATGCTATTACATTAGTAAGGCTTGGTACCCGAGTGTATTCCGGGCACTGACCTCTTGGCTTTGGTTGCGCTGCTGGTGATTTTTTCGGACCCTTTTTCTGGTCCATGGAAAGAGACACTTCACTGGATCACACCAAATCTTGCTACGTTGAAAACTTGGCAGCACCCCAGTGGGCCTGACCAGGGAAGAGCAGGGCCGGGCATTCATTACACAATCAGACAGTGTTCGAATTATCTGGAGAGACAGCGGACCCAGGTGGCCAGGCAGTATTGGGGCCGTCCCGTCTGCTGAATATGATAATTATTTACGTCTGCAACCAACACAGCAACACATTTTAGGCCCACTGGGGTGCTGCTTGAGGTTTTTTTCCGTTGGCTTGGCAATACCAGCATCACCGTGCTCACACAATGCGATACTTGGCATCGCAAAACGTTATCAGCGAGAGTAGTAAAGAGTCCTGGCCCAGAATTGGAGCACCGATTGATAGATCGTTCGCGTGCGAGAAGCTCCTTTCGGCGCGGCCGCACACGCCCGCAACCCGCGTGCGCCAATGTGTTCTACACCAACATTGTCCACCACCAAATAAAGGTTGGTGGGAATAGTGAAAGGGGTCGGATCACTGTACCTACTGCCGGCGGGCAGTGCGGAAATAGCTCACAACACCAATCAAACTCAATACATGGTTTCTATCGAATTTTGGATCATCTCGCGCAGAGTATGTCACATATCGCAGATAGGTCGATGGACTGCCCCATCCGGTGCGTAATGCGGAAGCGACAGCTAGCAGCGGCAGCAGAACCACCAGCCACCTGCACCTTTGTATAGCAAACATTATCATCACCACAGTAAGGACCCTCTCTGCGGACAGCCCAGCTGACGGGGAAACAGCCCATGAGAAACAAACAGTCCAACAGCCCCGGGCCTGGTGCTCGAGCAGGTTTCCTGCTAGCCAGCTTAGCTGTACGTTCAGTCGATAATGAATTCCAAAGGTGGCTTACGGCTACAGCAAGCTACAGCACCTTGCCAAAGCCACCCTCTCCATTCGCACGCGAGCTGCACCTAGCTGCGACGGCGGCAAGTCCTCTTCTTCCCTAGATGGTGCTGTCTGGCCTACCTACTACCTTCTCTACCTTTCTATCCACCTGCCCTCATGGACACCCCTGTAACAGTCACTCGCCTCCAGGCATTCCTGATCACACAGCACATCCCATCCCGACGCACCGCATCAGGGTAATACCATCACCGGGCCTTAACACGGCAGCTCTGCCACCGGGTCTTGAATGAAGACTCGCTTACTAAGGCTTCTCCCCCACCTCCCTCGCCGTCCCTCACACCACCTCCAATATGCTGATCCAATCAATACTCGGGGTATCCCCGGGGGTTCACGAAATCAAAATATTGAAAGACCCTGGCCGCTCACTCTCCCACAAACCTAGGTCGATTAGCCCTACTCCCCCAGGATGCCACCTTAAAACCAAATCCAACACAAACACACACACAACACCCTTGTTGCCAGCGGACCGCCCACGCCGACAAACATACATACACGCACGTGCGCAAATGTGTCGGCACGCCATTTCACCCACCGGTGGGCAGGTCGCCGCGGTGGGTTAGAGCCAAAGAATAATACATTAAGCGCCAGGATCACTTCGTCATTGCAACTGCCGATCCTCATCCTCCGTCCTTTCCCCCCTCCTTTGCTCCTCCTAACCTCCGATAAGCAGCGTCATTAGGTTGGCGGGAGCGCCACCACATCTCATCCCATTACTGCTCCTCCCCCACCTCCCGTGACCCCACCTCCCAACCTTCCTCAAATGAGGTCGTAGTCCGGCGGCCGCGGCGACCTAGCCGGAGGTGCTGACGGCGGCGATTGCTGCCACTGCGCCTGTAGCTGCTGACGTTGTCGATCCCGTTCCGCGGTGGCGATAGAGGCGGCGATGGCGGCGTCTAGGTCGGCCTGCTCGCTGCTCTGAGCCACCGCTGCCGCCAAACTTGCCTCCTTGGCGCGACGCACGTTTTCCTCCTCAATAGACACCGCAATTGCGCGCCGCAACCGCTCTTCCTCCTCGGCCCGCGCCCGCTGGGCCTCCTCCGCTGACGACGCCGCCAACGCCGCCGCCAGAGCGGGATCTGCCGTGGCCAGCGGAACCCCCGCCACCATGCCGCCACCCAGCACCGGCACCGTATGGTAGTACGCCACTGCTGGCGTAACCGCTCCAACCATCGGCGGCGCAGGCGGCGGCGAGATGACCAGCGGAGGTGCATGGCTTCCATTGCTGTACCCATTACTGTTCCCATGACCGTTGGTGTACGGCGGCACGGTGCCCGCCGGCGGTGGCGGCGGCGGCAGGTTTTGCATGGGGATGTCATGCGTCGATACCGTCGCCGGTGGTGTGCCGGTCGCGCGGAAGCGCTTCCGCAAGTACCGCCGCCTGCCGACCCATATGGCTCCGGCACTGAGGATGAGCAGCACACCAGCCACCAGCACCGCCACACCAATGACGATCTTCTTGGTGTTGTCCGAGCTGCCGCCGCCCTCAGAGCGGTTCACCTGCGTACGTGTGTGTACGTGTGTGTGAAAGCCGCAGTCGGTCCCAGATTGGGTTGCGGGTAGGTGAGAGTGCACAGAATGGGTGGGTGTACGACTTGGCTTCTCGCTTCCACCATCAGCACCACTACCACTACCACCACTGTCATCATTACTGCTAAACCCCGGAGGGGGGAGACTGTCCAAACAGACACCCTTGCATGTCGAGA